GTTTGGATTTGTCGCAAACCTTGGTTTTGGCAAATTCACATGGATAGGAACTCATACACCATAAAATCTAAGTGTCATAAGATTCCCTCCTTCATGAAAATGACTGTGAGGAAATGCTTTCACTAAGAGAGATTTTAAAAAGATAGCAATTGAGAAAATTGTATTCTCAAATTCGATTATGGTTACGGCATCCCTTTCCATAGTTCGAATTGTGAGATTTGGCAATTAGTTTCAACATTTGGAACTTAGTAACATAAGTTATGAATTGTTTAAACACACATATGAGCTATTAAGGCAAAGGTGTATAAGGTTAAGAAGCTTAGATAAAGGCTTATCGAAGCATCTGGTATTAGAAATATGAATTTCAGAAATTCAATAGGCATTGTTTTCTGGAAGTTCATTTGTTTTCTGAATACATGTCAAAGCTAGTGGGAGCATAAATGTTATGCTTATATGATAATCATCATGATAGTGGGAGCATAAGTGTTATGCTTATGGCGAGTATTGCAAGTTAGCAATATTAATTATAGAAAAACAAAGATTCCATTTGCAAAGTTGCATGGGTTGAAAAGTTGTTTTGCTATAATTAAGGGAGAGAATATTATACTCTGTTTCAAAATCTAAAGCTTAGATTAAGAAATTTTAATATTTTCAGTCAAAGGATACATTGTGTGTTCTTAAAATTCGATTATGATTACGGCATCCCTCTTCATAGTTCGAATTGTGAGAACATGACACATAAAATATTATGGCAAAAGATTGGTAAAGTATCATATCTTTATGTAAGACATTATGCATCGTGTCCCATACGCTTCGGGTATAGGATCGATTGTAAATGCTATAGTATTTTACCATTCTAAAATTTTCCAAATGTCTAGCGCATTAAGAGGGAAAAAGGAATAGAATTGGTTTTGACTGAAAGAATTTAACAACTATCAAAGGACGATCCAAAGTTCGCTGAGGATTGATCGCTTGTAAGTAGTTGGAAGTATGGTATTGGATGGACCATATCGACATTATTATGAATAGATAAGATTCTATTAAGAATGAGTTGTCATATGGCAAATGTGGAAATGTTTCCATATTGGGAGTTGGATATTGAGAGTCTATGCCTAGATTAGAAACTTTTATGCAAGAAGGATGTTCAAAGGAATGTACTTTGAATGTGAGACTTCACATCTATGGAATTGTCTTGTAACAATTTCTAAGAAAGTACTTTGTAATTTCATTAGCTACGTCTTGGTGACTTTTGTGCTATGATTTTGCAAAGGGATCGTTGCATAAAATGTTAGAATCTAGCATATTCTAGTAGTGGCAAGAACCTTGTGTTCTTACACTAATAATTAGGATTAAGGAATTGTGAAATGAGCATCATTGGAAAAGTTTTCAGGTGATCTATTTCACAAAGCATGGACCATAGGAAACAAAGTGTGCATGTTTAGAGCATGGGACAATTGTTGGTATAATTCAAGTAATGAGTTGATTATCCGAAACATTAAATGATAAATAATGAGTAATCAATATGGTGGATAAATAGAAGGGTTTTATTTACTCTCACAAGTTTGGGGCCATATAGGATTAAGTATTGTTGTCATGTTTCACTTTGCATGTTTTGACTTCCAGAATAACTAGGTTATTCAAACATCCACAGTCGGTTATACGTTGGGAGTAGGTATGAAGAAAGACTGTCATGAATGTGTCTGTAGATTGTCTGAAGTGTTTAGACATGGCACAAGTTTGCTGCAGAGTTCATGAGTGCTTTGATAAGATTAGAGTATTGGATTAAACCCACGCTCACTTGGATCACTTCATGGTTTTATCACGAGTGATTAGTGAGACGATAATATTGTATATTCTTGAAACCGAGACATGTGAGTTGTTATTTGTTGGTCAGTTGCACATTGATAATAAGTAAACGCACCAGTAACTTGGTGTTATAAAACTTATTGTTGTGTGTGATTCGATCAGTAAATGCAAGCGAGCATTTGAGTCAAGTTTATCCATTCCTTTTACCCAAAGTGGGATAAAAGCGATATATGTGGGCCTCTCGATGATTTAGTGATGACACCTAAGCGCTTGGCCAAGCCGGGACTAAGTTGATGTGTTCAATTGTAGTCTTTTGTCAGTCGTCATAAATCGGAAGTCGGGAAACAGTATAGAGAGAATGATTGAAATTCATGTCTTATGTCTATACGATATCTTGAGAATGGAGGAATATATAATCCCTTATCTAGAGGACACGCTATCTGATAAGATCAGAGTTGACAGCGGCTTTTGAAAGCTACGATTGCTGATCAGGTTCTGAAGTCATACGGAAAATAGTTATTAGACTTATCCAAGTGGGAGACTGTTGGATTAGTGTCTAAGTCCATAACTATTTTGGTATGTACTTGACCCGATTATGAGCATGGTCCTTTTGGGTTGCCTTCACCATAGCAATATGTAGGATGATTTAAGGAGAGAAAGGTTTAAATATGATTTATTAATATATTATGAGAATAATATATTAAAGGAGAAATCATATTGTTTAATTAATATTAGTCAAGAATTAATTGTTAATTAATTTTGTGGCTAAAAGAGATTAATTAAACTTAGGGGACTGGACTGCAATTATTGGATAATTGAGTTATTGGGCTAAGGAATGCTAAAGGAGTAAGGGGTGAACGAAATTATGATGGAAGCCCATCATATTTTCGTCCATAGCCTTATCCAGAAGGTTCCATGGGCTGCTTAGAGTTTAAGCTGTCCATTAGGGTTTTGACTGAAACCCTAGCAGCCCACACAAGTATATAAAGGACCCCTTAGACTCCAAAAACGTGGACAACACTTCCATTAGGGTTTCCAGCCGTTTTTGGTGCCTCTTTTTCTTCTCCTCTTCATCCAAGTTGCATATGGTGTTTGTGACTCCATTAGAGGTACTACACTTGTGGTACTTGCTTTCAAGAGCTAAGGAAATTCAAGGAACAAGTTGTTATTGCTATATAACAACAAAAGGTATGTATTATAGTTTTATATATGAATTTCGAAAATTATAGTAGCATGCCAGGTTTCTTTTTGTGTTCATAAAGTTGTATAACTAATAGTGAAAACATAGATCCAATACTAGGGTTGCATGCACACATAGGATTGTTTGTATAAAACCCATCAAGAACTGACTGCTTAAAATCTGAGTGAAGGATCCCTGACTGATGTCCCGGCTGCTCTCCGGCTATCATGACCAATAAAACACTTAATAAAAATGAGGATCCTTCTATGGTTAAAATGTCTATTTTACCCCTTCTATGGTGTGGTTCATGACTAGGGTCCAAACCCCCCTTAAATCTTTCCAGATCTAACAATGGCCCACTAAAGGCCCACTAATGGCCCAATTTTCCAAATCGAGCCTAACTCCTTGTATGGTCCCACATAAACCCAACATGTCCTTGGTCCAAAATCTAAGTTCTGATGGCCTTGTTGAGGCCTAATAACTGAAAATTTAACAAATGGCCGAAACTGAGGCCCGAAAATGTACAAGTCCAAATTTGTGGATTACGCGGGGCGTTCTTATCTATACGCAGCGCGACATGCTTCAAAGCTTGGTCCACATTAAGCACTTAATACTCAAACCCAGAAGCTACAACTACAGATCCATGTTCCTTTCAACGTCTTAATACATAAAGTCTATGACTTGGTGGCTTGCAACCCACCAAATGCACCCAACTCTAGAAATAACAACAAACTTCCATGGAAATGGCTAGATCTTATGCATGACTATATAAAGGCCCCAAAGCTTGAAACTTTATTGCTATAGGGCCACTTTGAGGTTCAAGGATAGCAATCCCAAGCTCATGATGAAGTTACATGGTAAAGGTCCAAACTTCTAAAAACTCCTAGATCTAAGCTTATAAGAGGAAAGTTAGGAACTTTATACCTCTTTTGGATGCCAAATGACGAAATGATCCCAAATCCTTGAGCTCAAGATACTAAAGTTCTCCTTCTTCCACTCCTCTTCTCTTCTTCCAAGATTTTCTTCACAAAATGAGCCCAAACGATCAACCACACACAATCAAAGGAGTAAAGGATGAACTAGGGTTTTCTGAGAGTGAAGGATATGTGACGAGGCCAAGTGGGAGGCTATAATGGGGTTTATATACCTCTTAAACCCTTAAATTAGGATTTCCTTATCTGTTCACGTACGCTGTGTGTACACTTTGGTATTCTGTGTGTATGTGTGCGCGCGCCCGATTCCACACGCGGCCCATTACACCCAGTGTACGCCTTCTGGGCGGCCCAAGTCCTTGGTTCAAGTGCATAAGTCCAATCTAATACTCTTTTTATCCACACTTGGCCCAACTATAATTTAAGAAAATTAAATAATTAATACCTCAAAAGTCGATCGTTACATTGATAATAGTGAAGATGAAGAGCCTGACGAACACAAGCTGAAAAGAAGAAAAGACCGTGACGCTTACTTCGAGGAACACCAAAGAATTATTCGTGAGGCTGAAGAAAAAGAAAAACATTTGAACGCAAAGCTCATGCCATGCTGGACAGCCGAAATCACTTGTTTCCAATATGGACCTTGAAGCGAATCCTGAATGAAGCAGTTGATATGCCAAGCCATTCTGGGCGGCCCATAGTGAAGATGAAGAGCCTGATGAACACAAGCTGAAAAGAAGAAAAGACCGTGACGCTTACTTCGAGGAACACCAAAGAATTATTCGTGAGGCTGAAGAAAAAGAAAAAAATTTGAACGCGAAGCTCATGCCATGCTGGAAAGCCGAAATCACTTGTTTCCAATATGGACCTTGAAGCGAATCCTGAATGAAGCAGTTGATATGCCAAGCCATTATTGGTTGGAACCGGTTGCGTCATTCGATCTTCAGAATACCCAAGATTCGCAGTTGGACCTTCCAATCACTCTAAAAGCTTTCAGGTTTCGCAGCTTTTTGAAAGTAGCGAATGTTCAAACAACAGATAGTGATGTACACCACTTACTTTTCTCATTCTATCTCAAGCATATGAAGCCACAATACATAACGTGGAGTGTGAGTAAGATTACGGTTGTGAAGGTCACTGGTCTAATTGAAACCGATAGCTTCACTAATGCAGAATTCAAAGTAGCTAGAGATTCACCCAGTCAGGTCCATGAATTTACCCTCGCTAATTTTCCATGCCTTAACCGTTATGACTGGATCATGCTTTACAACTTGTTGTTGAGAGATGAACAGAAATATGGGTTTGTTATTGCTCACCTCAAACAGATGATTATTTCATACATTCATGAGGTTGGGGAAATGGATATTGATATTTTTTCCGTGTTCACTTCCCAAAGAAGTCCCTTAAGGTTTTGATAAAAAGAAACTTGGGAAGATACAAAACGATGGGTGGTTTTTAGTTGTTCAATTAAAAGAGCGAATTGATGGAGACTTTCACAAAGTTTGTTTCTTTCTCGATGATAAACACTTATTCTCCATTCCTTGCGTAGAGTACATCTTGGACTTCGTAAATAAGCACAGGGGTAATAACAAAGGCCACAAGAAGTGCTTTTCGGATATGATTCTTTGGTATATCCAAGTTCACAAGGTTCTACTGAGCATAATTCCAAAAGTTTTTTGAAGTTCAGAAGTGAACTCATCCATGAAAGACTCTCGCCTCAATCGACGCAAAAGGGGAGATGGTTGAGTATTAAGTGTTGCGTCTTTTAGGCCTTTGTATTCAGTCTTTTGTATATCCGGGTTGGGCCTATCCACCTGTGTTTAATGATTAGAATTTTACTATTAAAGGTGCATGCATGCATCGTGTATTTAGTTAATCGTGTCATTGTAAACCCTACACGCCACTACAGTAGCAGTTCTTTATCAAGCTCTTCTGAGGTTGCGATTTATAATCATTCGACACATTCTTGATCTATATTTGTGTTTGATTGTTATTACTTGTTTGAATCTTATCGATCATTAGAGTTTTTAACTCATCCATAAGGAGAGAGGAAGGACACATAAGGATTTTCGGCAAGGGTTAGCTCAAGGAACATTGGACGAAAATCTTATGACCATGGGGTATTTATATAGTTGTTGGGCTGCTAGGGTTGTTCAGGTGGAAATCCTAATTCTTGCTTAAGGCTTAAGCAACCCATGGACTTCCTCTTTAGATCCCTTGGATGAAATCTTATGGCCTTTGCCGATAAATTTCGTCCATTCCACCCTATGGAGTCCATCAGCCTAGTTCTGCAACTATCAATGATTTGCAAAACAGTCCCTCCATTATTAATCAGTTCCTCTTAATCCCAAAATTAATATCAAATTAATTTCTGATTAATTACCAATTAATAATATTATTTCCAAATAATATATTAATCTTTTAATATATTAATAAAATTATTCTAAGTACCAATTTATTATTCATATAATAAATCTAACTCTCTCTCCACTTTCATCCTGTATAGTTGCATGAGTGAAGGCAACCCAAAAGGACCATGCTCATAATCAAATCAAGTACATATCAATAATAATTATGGGCTTAGACACCTAATCCAATAGTCTCCCACTTGGATAAGTCTAATAACTATTATTTCAAGTATGACCTCAGAATCCGATCAACAATCGTAGCTTTAAAAAGCTATTGTCAAACTCTCATCATATCAGTAACGCGTCCTTTAGATAAGTGATCAAATATTCCTCCACTCTACAAGATATCGTATGGACATGGGACATGGATCATAATCATTCTCTTTCTCCAAGGTTTGTTTCCCGATTTCCGATTCATGACGACCGACTAATTGAACAAATCAAATCAGTCCAGGCTTGGCCAAGGGATTAGGTGTCATCATTAAATCATCGAGGGGCCCACAGATATCTCTTTTATCCCATTTAGGGTAAAAGGAACGGATAAACTTTGACACATATGCTTGTACTATTTACTCATCAAATCACACACGACAATACGTTTTATAACATCAAGTTACTGATGTGTTTATGTATTATCAATATGCAACCAACTTGCAACAATAACTTCAGTGTCTCCATTTCAAGAATATAAGATATTATTGTCTCACAATCACTCGTTACAAAATCCATGAAGTGATTCAAATGAGTGTGGGTTTAATCCAATACTCAAACTTTTATTTTAGGAGTACTCATGAACACTGCAGCCGACATTAGCTATGTCTAAGCTCTTAGACAATCTACATTCGGATTCATGATAGTCTTACCTCATTACTTACTTCCAAAGTATGATCAACTGTGGATATTTGATATCGCTTTTATCCCATTTAGGGTAAAAGGAACGGATAAACTTCGACACATATGCTTGTACTATTTACTCATCAAATTACACACGACAATACGTTTTATAACATCAAGTTACTGATGTGTTTATGTATTATCAATATGAAACCAACTTGCAACAATAACTTCAATGTATCCATTTCGAGAATATAAGATATTATTGTCTCACAATCACTCGTTACAAAATCCATGAAGTGATTCAAATGAGCGTGGGTTTAATCCAATACTCAAACTTTTATTTTAGGAGTACTCATGAACATTGCAGTCGACATTAGCTATGTCTAAGCTCTTAGACAATCTACAGTCAGATTCATGATAGTCTTACCTCATTACTTACTTCCAAAGTATGATCAACTGTGGATATTTGAATAACCTAGTTATTCGGGAAGTAAAACATGCGAAGTGAAACACAAGAATAAGCTAATTCAATATGGTCTCAAACTTTTGAATATAAATAAAATACTTATTATTCAATCACCATATTAATTAGACCTTATTCATTGTATATTTTTTCAACCAATCAACGGAATACTTGAATTAAAATATTTGACATGCCATGCTCTTAGCATGCACACCATGTTTATCTATGGTCCTTTCTTTGTGAAACAAATCAATTGAAAACATTTCCAATGATATCCATTTCACAATTCCTAATCCTTATTACAAGTGTAAGAATACAAAATTCTTGCCACTTACTAGCTAGAATATGTTAAAGTCTAAACTTTCATGCAATAATCCTTTTGTAATTCCAAGGCAACAAAGTCACAGAGACTTGGGTAATGGTATTACAAAGTATTCCATTGGAGACTTGTTACAAGAAAAATTCCATGGAAAGGAAGTCTCACATTCAAAGTACATTCCTTTGAACACCCTTCTTGCATAAAAGTCTCCAACTTAAACATAGATTTGTAATATCCAACTCCCATAATAGAAACATTTCCATATTGCCATATGACAACTCATTCTTAATAGAATTGTCACACCCCAAAAGCAGAACGGCGGAAAAGTTCAGGGGTGGATGACTTCATGTATAGTATCATAACAACGAATGTAATAGTGAAGAAAGCAAACACAACCATCATCAATATAATTGAAAGAGTTACATTATAGAGTAAGTTTACATGTTTCAAAATCAATTACATCATGATGACAAAATAAGTTTTGAATTTCTCGCTTTAGCGTCCCGTCCTCGAAAGCAGTTGATTTACCTGTTTAGTAATTTCCTGAGAATACAAGTTGTTTGAAAAAGTGTCAACACAAAGGTTGGTGAGTTCATAAGAGTTTCAATTGAGAATTAAAGTGTTTTTCCTTGTAAAAGCAATTAAGTTGTTCCAAAAAATCCGATATTTTCCTCAAATTGTGAAATGTAAGTTTCTATGTTATGAAATAGTGCATCCTAGAATTCCCTATAGTTTCCTTCTATAATTTCCTTGTGTATATAAGCTATATAAAATTAAAGTTAGATAAAACGTCGAATGTAATGGTTCTGCCCTAGACCCACAACCAAACAAGGAACAAGAAATAAGGCGGACCCACCAATTCTAGGCCAATCACGACTAGGTTCCATATAACTCTAGCATATACACTTAGAAATTATAGCTGAAAACTAACAATTCTAGATTGAATGTAGTCTCAAAACCAAAAAAGAAACCAAACCCTAGTGTAGTGTACGAAATAGTTGGGTTCCCTCCACGTTGTTCGTGCGAGAACAGGGGTAGAAGAGATAGTTAATAGACGTCTACTCCTATAATTACTTATAGGGGTGATCCTTATTAGTCACTTCTATAATCACATAGTGTGTACCAGTTCTACATAATCTGAGATAAAATAGACCTTCGAATAAATGACTCTACTCTAAATCCACAACCAAACAAGGAACAAGAAGTAGAGCAATAGTCATAGATTCTGAGTCTATAATATCTTTGATTATGTATAACCTTAGCGTATGCACTTAGTCATTTTAGACATACTAATAGGGGTCTTTAGTTTTCACATAGTTAGTTATAGTGCCTCAAAGTACTCCTATAGTACTTTAATATCTGTCTTATGTTCTCAGTGTTTCTTTGTAGATAGAGTTGGTAAGTTTTTAGACTTGTTGCAACACCTACGACCATTCCTGGGCATATGCTAATCACTTCTGGGTGAGATATAGTTGATCAGGCTATGTCATTCCCAGACCTGACTATACATCCCCAAGCCTACTCGTACTGTTCAACAATCACCACTTTTGTCCCATCCCACCATGATACTGACCCTAGTGTGTATGCACGTGCTCATACTTTTACCGAGAAATTATTTGTTTCTAAAAGTATAGTTATTTGGAAAATTTTAAATCAGCCACTTTCAGTCCTAATGTATTTATAGTTTGTACATCTTATATTGTTCGATATACTTAGTTCACTATAAACAATGCTCTGATACCAATCTGTCACACCCCCAAACCAGAACGGCGGAAACGTTTGGGGTGGATGACTTCATGTATAGTATCATAACAACGGATGGAATAGTGAAGAAAGCAAACACAACCATCATCAATATAATTGAAAGAGTTACATCATAGAGTAAGTTTACATGTTTCAAAATCAATTACATCATGATGACAAAATAAGTTTTGAATTTCTCGCTTTAGCGTCCCGTCCTCGAAAGCAAGTGATTTACCTGTTTAGTAATTTCCTAAGAATACAAGTTGTTTGAAAAAGTGTCAACACAAATGTTGGTGAGTTCATAAGAGTTTTAATTGAGAATTAAACTGTTTTTCCTTGTAAAAGCAATTAAGTTGTTCCAGAAAATCCGATATTTTCCTCAAATTGTGAAATGTAAGTTTCTATGTTATGAAATAGTGCATCCTAGAATTCTCTATAGTTTCCTTCCATAATTTCCTTGTGTATATAAGCTATATAAAATTAAAGTTAGCTAAAACGTCGAATGTAATGGGTCTGCCCTAGGCCCACAACCAAATAAGGAATAGGAAATAAGGCGGACCCACCAATTCTAGGCCAATCACGACTAGGTTCTATATAACTCTAGCATATACACTTAGAAATTATAGCTGAAAACTAACAATTCTA